ATTTTTGCTTGCCTTTCTTCCCCACATCTCAATGTAGCTACCATTTTGCTTTTGCTGAAATTGCAGTCTTAAATTGTATGTTAGAAATGGATTTTTCACTTGTATAGTTTGACGGAAAATATCTTTATGTTGAAAAAAGGCAGTTTCCTACCCTGACTTCCATGGTGGGAGTTAAGAATGTGGCTCTCAGTGTGATAGCTATTCCTTTCCAGGTGACCTGGCTGTATCCTTTGCCTTTTTTAGGATTACCTGATCCTCTGAAGTTTTATTACAATTCCTTAGAGAGTTCATTGGATCAAAGGATTGATGTCTTCCATTACTTCCGGAAAGTTCTTAGTCATTATCTCTTTGAGTATTGTCTCTTCTTTTTTCTTTTCTCCCCTGTCTAGAGCTCCAGCTACTCCTGGTACCTTGTCACTCTGCTGTTCATGTCGCTTAGCTTCTTTTTCAGGTTTTCCGTTTCTCTTTTGTCTCTTGGGCTGCATTCTGAGCAATTTCATGTCCATCTTCACTCATTCCCTCTAGGGATATTTTCAATCTATTGCCTGTTCTGTTTTTTAATTTCAATAAAATTTAAATATATTCTCCATTTTTCAAAAATACTTTAGAGTTCTTTCTCAAGGCTTGATTGGGCATTCTTTATCATCCTTTTGTTCTTATCCAAGCTTCAGTTTTGTTTCTTTGAAACATAAGACAATCACTTTACATTCCACTTCATCTTAATTGCAGTCCCCTTTGCGCTTATGATTTGGTTACTGTCGCTTCTGGTGGCTCTCAGTCTTGGTGCCTTGTTTCCTTGGATGTTCTATGACTCTTCTGTGAATCCCTCATTTTTCTCAGAATTTTGTCATTATAATCCTTTGGAGAAGACTTGCACTTATTGGCACTGGCTTCCTTGGAGAAATACCCCAGGTAGTCACTCTCATGTCAACTATCTACTTGATAGTTTCTGTCATGCACATAATGGATACATGGACAAGCAGCCCTCAGGAGAGTGAGATATGGTTGTGAGCTCTCTGGAAAGAACTCACCCTCTCCACTCAGTGTCGGGTTCCTGACCCACCTAGGCAGCACATTCACTATTCATTCCTTGTCACTCTGAAGGAAGAAGCCCAGTGTCCCTGTGTTACACAAGGCTTTCCTTACAGATCCTGAGTCTCCCCTGGGCCCTTGTGCTCACATCTCCTGTGCCCCTGCTGGCAAAACAGGGGCTCAGGATTGCAAGGGCTCCTCCCCACCCCTCAGAGCAAGCCTCGGGTACTTGCCAGCTTCTCAGAATAATCTGTTTCTGCATCATCTGCAACTGCTCCTTTCTACTCCTTTTCCAGATCTGTGTGTTTTAAAGCTCGTCCCCTTGTTGCAGGGTCATCTAGCATTGCGGTTGTTCCCATTGGGAAGGATAACCAGGCTGCCTAGTCTGCCTGAGTACCAAAATGTACCGCCCAGATGCCATCTGGAAATGGAGAGGTGTCTATAGGGAATAAAGGTGGTGCCCTTCAGCCTCATTTTCACATCTTTCTCTTGAGATAGCAAACATCCTTACTATCTCTAAGGTAAAGAGCATTAAGGCTTGAAAGAGGTTGCTGCCTTTTTTGAGCAAATTGAAAAGAGAGTAGTTTGAAGCTGCTAAAATACTAGCTGAATATGTTCTCTGTAGAGCTGTGGGTGTTCCAACAATTCCACTCCCGGGTGTGTGCCCAAAAGACTCATAGAAAAGGATGCAGGTGCCTGTGTACCAATGTTCTAGCCACACAATTCACCAGAGCCAAATGGCAGAAACCACCTCAGTGTTCATCAGCAGATGGATGGATAAACAAAATGTGTACATCCATGCGATGGGATGTTACTGAACTTGTGATATGTGCTATGGCATAGATGAACCTTGTAAACATTCTACCAAGAAAGAGGCAGGCAGTCAAAGAACTAGGACTGGAAATCCCATTTGACCCCGCTATTCCACTGCTGGGGATCTTCCCCAAAGAATTAAAAGAATCCTACCACAGTGATATATGTGCACCCATGTTCATAGCAGCACAGTTTGTAATAGCTAAAACTTGGAAACAGCCCAAATGCCCATCAACGGGAGACTGGATAAAGAAAATGTGGTTTTTTAATAAAATGGAGTACTACTCAGCCATAAAACATGAGAAATTAGAGACATTTATAGCTAAGTGGATGCACATTGAGGCGATACTCTTAAGTGAAATAAATAGGACACACATGTGTAAATACCGAATAATTTCTCTGGTGTGAGAAACTGAAAGTGTAAATAAGGACTAAAATGTATAATAGGTAATGTGAAATAGGAAGAAAGGGGCAAAGTGGAAGGAAGTGGGAGGGCTAGGGGAAAGGATAGAAGGGAATGGGATTAATATGAGAAAATGGAAAAATAGGAACAAAATTTTTGTAAATAGGGAGGGCTGGAGGGGTTGAAGGGAGGGCTGGGCAAGGGTGAAAAACAAGAACCAAGAGAAACTATGTAAAGATGCAAATTTCCAATGATGAATGTCATTATATTGTATACCTAAAATGTACCAATGATTAGAATGAATAATGGATAATGTAAAATAGGAAGAAAAGGTCCAAAGGGGCAGGGGTAGTGGGAGGCACAGGGGAAAGGAAAGAAGGGAAAGGAAAAAATGCTGAGAAATGGAAAAAATGGAAATAAAGTCTTTGTAAATAGGGAAGGGTGGAGGGCCTTGAAGGGAGGGCTAGGAATGGGGAAAAAATAAGAACCAAGGTGCATTATGTAGGGGTACAATTCCCACTGAGAAATGTAATTGTGTTGTATACCTACAATGTACCAATAAAAGAATTTAATACAAAAAAAATAAAAAAGAAAGAGGCAGGCAGAAAAAAGCCACATATAGTCCAGTTCCACTTACAGGAAAAGTCCAGACTAGGGAAATCCGTAGCAACAGAAAGATGAGCACTTGTCATGACCCGGGAAGAGAGGACATGGGGAGTGACTGCTCCATGGCTGTGGGGTTTCCTTTTGGTGTAATGAAATGCTCTGGAAGTAGGGAGAGGAGAAGTTGTGTATCATTGTGAATATACTCAATCTCATTGAGTTGTATCCTTTAAAACGGTTAAAAAGATAAATTCCATATTATAAATATTTTTCCCCAATTGTAAAAGCTATTGGCTATGTTGAGAGTCCTCAGAAATAGGGAAGGGTAGCCTGAAGTATTTAGTCCCCTTCATGCTTCCCTCTCAGCCCCAGAAATTGAGTCCTCTCAGAATTGCACACTCTGACTTGGTGTGGTGGCTCACACCTGTAATCCCAGCAGTCTGGGAGGCTGAGTCAGGAGGACTGCAAGTTCAAGCCCCGGTCTGAACAACTTAGCAACTTAGTGAAACTCTATCTCCAAATAAAGAATTTAATAAAGGGCTGGGAGTGTAGCTCAGTGCACAGGCCCTGAGTTCAATCCCCAGTGCCACCCACACACAAAAATATATAAATAGAAAGAAAGGAGAGAAAAAAGAATTGCCTGCTCTGTCCTGGATCTGAGCCCACAGGGCACTCTTTCTTTGGTTGCCCTCTAAGGACAACACAAGGAAGAGGACTGCTGCTTTGAAAACGGTGTCCGGAGCTTACATCCCCCATGCACTGTCTCCTAAATTGGGGTGTGTGCATATTGATCCTGCAAATATTTTTCACCTGAATTACAAAATGACTATTATTTTGAAAACTGGGATAGGAAAATCTCAATGTCACATTATGTCTCTGACATTGTTTTTGAAATAAATTTCATCATTTAAATCTACTCTTCCCTGTAAAATCCAAAATGCCCTGGCCTCACCAACCCCGTGGTCTGCCCACCTTCTTCTCTGAGCCAGTGACCTTCTAGCAGTTGCCTCAGATGGACAGGGAGCTGGCCTTCCAGTTCAGTCTCCTTAGGCCTCCAGTGCAACAAAACCCACTGTCACAAGCCTACGCAGTCATGGATGAGCCAACCAGGACGTTTGTTCCCACTGTTGGCTCTACAAACCGAGCAAACGGTACTTCCTGTATAACTTGTTTTAAGCTGTGCCTGTGATTTAAAAGATATGTCCCCAAATACTAACAAATGGAATATCAATTTCATCCAGGAGTCCAGGTGCCCTGCTGTTCGTTACCGGGTGCCACAAAAGCAGTCTGTCACTGTCGCATATCTCTTCCTGGATTGCTTCACCGTTCTCCAGATCATGCCTGGCTTAAAAAGTGACACTGATTTTTTTTCATTAAATGTGATCATTGGCTGTGTTCCTCAAAAAAGGTTTAAAAACAGATTCTATTTTTTACTTCAATTTTTTTATTTCTACCTTTATTATTTTTTAATTAATTTTATTGGTACATTTTAGGTGTACAATATAATGACATTCATCATTGGAAATTTGCACCTTTACATAATCTCTCTTGGTTCTTTTTTCCCCCTTCCCCCGCCCTCCCTTCAACCCCTCCATCCCTCCCTATTTACAAAGACTTTGTTTCCATTTTTTATTTTCTCATATTAATTCCATTCCCCTCTTTCCTTTCCCCTACCCTTCCCACTTCCCCTTCCCCTTTGCCCCTTTTCTTCCTATTTCACATTATCTACTATACCTTTTGATCCTTATTTCCACTTACAGTTTCTCACAGCAGAGGAACTATTAGATATTTACACGTGTGTGTCCTGTTTATTTTTATGAGTACATGTTTGCAGTGCTGAGTGATTCCCTTCCTCCTGGGGAGCTGGTGCATGTAAATAACACAGCTTAACTCTTTTTTTCATCCCCTCTCTTCTCCCTCTATCTCTTCGTCCCCTTCCTCTTTGCAAAAGATCTATCTCTCTGTTTCCTAATATCCAGCTTTTATTTTTTTCATTAATTGTTTGTGCTGTGGGTTTCTCAAATAAGAGAAATCATACACGTTATGGTCTCAAGGTGCATCCATTTTCCTACAAATTACTCAAATTTATCTTTTAAAAAAAAGACTCTTAAATGGACTGTATTAAGGTGTCCACTGTATCTTCATGCAGGGTCACATCCATTGCAGACAGGCTGAATGTGGAGTTTGCTTTGATTCACAAAGAGAGGAAGAAGGCAAATGAAGTGGACCGGATGGTGCTGGTGGGCGACGTGAAGGGTCGCGTGGCCATCCTTGTGGATGACATGGCCGACACATGTGGCACCATCTGCTTCGCTGCCGATAAGTACGTGGGACAGTTCAGGAAAGCATGAAGACATCTCAAGAAAGAAAGAAAGATCAGTGCTTTAAAAATTGGGCCTAGTTTTCCTAATTATTAGTGATTGTTTGATACTGTGCTATTAGACCAAAGGAAATTTGAGGAACCTTTGTTTTTATTGTTCTTTTCCTGGTAGAAATAAAAACATGGGCCTTTTTATTTTCCATGTGGAAATTTCGGTATCTTTTAAAAGGGGAAAGAGAAGGTGCTTTCCTGGAAACTACACACAGAAGGAAAGAGTTTTTCAGGCTGTGGCACACTCGGAATGTGGCCAGTCCAAGTTGAGATGCACTGAACTATGTCACCAATAATGTTTTGTATTAATTACACGTCAAAATGGTGATATTTTGGCTAGCTTACTTTCAAGCAGTGGTTCTCAGCTCAGGCAGTTTTTCTTCCTGGGTGACTTGTGGCAATGTGTAGAGACATCTTTGGTTGTTACATCTAAGGGGAGGGGGGCCGGGGATTTAGCTCAGTGGTTCTGCCGCCTGCCTCGAAAGTGCAAGGTCCCGAGTTCGATCCCTGGTACCAAAACAACAACAACAAAAAAAAATCTAAGGGGAGGGGAATGTTGCTAGTGGGTGGAGGCCAAGATGCTGCTAAATTTTCTTGTAATACACTGGATAGCCTTCATGACCAAAAATTACTCAGGCCCAAATGCTAATGCTGATAATCCCTGATTTAATGGCATACTGTGTTTTGCTAACATACCTAGTCTTGGCTAATAAATATGTGGGAAATTTGTCCCATCTTTTCGTTTGTGGAACTCACTATTTGCTATTAACATTGACATTAGGAGAAAGTATTTCAAGGACATTAGCATACACTGACTTTTGTGTCTTCTGTTTTATAGGCTACTCTCAGTTGGAGCCACCAAAGTTTATGCTATCCTTACCCATGGTATCTTCTCTGGGCCAGCAATTTCCAGAATAAATAATGCTGCCTTTGAGGCTGTTGTTGTGACAAACACAATTCCGCAAGAGGACAAAATGAAGCACTGCACCAAGATTCAGGTAAGATGCATTCCACAGGCAGAAGCAAGCAGCCAGCCACCTGCTTCAGATCCCTCAAAATAGCAGCCAGCCTTCCGCAGGCGAAAGGCACTGCAGCTTCTGCTCCCCAGCAGGATCTCAGTGGCACCAGATCCTGAAAAAGGCCAAGTTAGCAGAGATCAAAGTACGCTATTTAGAAATAGCAAATGAATAAAACCACAAAAGAAAAATGATACAAAACAGGCTGTGCTCAAGTTAAACAAAATTAGCATATAAACCAAGAGTTCCACCACTAGGTCTGTACCCTCAAAATTTGGAAATATGTTCAAACTAAAATTTGCACATGAATGATCATAGCAGCACTGTTCACAGTAGCCGAAAGGCAGAAACATCCAATGTCCATCAGATGAATAGACAACCAAAGAGGGGCCCGTCACTGCAGTGGAATATTATTCAGAAAAATGTGTAGAGACAGAAAGTAAAATAGTGATTACGAGGAGCTGGAGGAGGGAAGAATGAGGAGTTAGCATTTAATGGGTACAATTTATTGGGGATGATGACAACAATTCGGAAATAGATAATGGTGATGTTTATGCAACATTGGAAATGTAATTAGTGCCACTGAATTATATACTTAAAAATGGTTAAAATGGCCAATTTTATGTGATACACACACACACACACACATATGTGTGTGTGTGTTTATATTTTTAACACAGTTTTAGAAACAAGGGGGGTGATACAAAGGAGTGGGCTATGTGAAGATCTTCAGAGCTCCACTCCTTCATAGCTCTCCTGACTGGATGCCACAGGCCACCACAGAGCTGTTGGCAGTCATTTGACACCAGCTGGCCTAAAGCCACTCAAAAAGGTTTGCATCTCCATTTGGCCTCTGTTTCAGTGAACCTTGGCAGTCATTTCAGCCTTCAAAGCCTTGGTTCCCATCAGCGGAGCATGAAGGTGGGTCACAGTGATCCACTTCTTGCTTTCTAATTCTTCAGAGAGAAAGAGATCATTGGGCAGAAAGAGATAAGTTTGGAAACGATCAAAATGGTGGTCTCTTATATTTTCATGCATGATTAGCAGTAGTTTTGGAGTTTAGTAAACACTGGCCCAGGCCAAATGCAGCCCACCATCTATCTGTTTTTGTAAATAAAGTTTTATTGGCACCCAGCCACACCCAGATATTTGTGTGTTGCCTGTATGGTTGCTTTCATGCTACAGCAATGGAATTGAGTGTGTGTAGCAGAAACTCTCACGACTACAAAGTCAAAAGTAGTCCTAGACCTTTACAGAAAAGTAGTTTGCTGACCTCAGGGTTAGACCATCACAGTTGTCCTCGGAAATGACCCAGTCACTGCCTTTTCTGAAACCCAGATAGAAGAACCTTCCACTAATGATTAAGATTAATTTAAAAGCAACAAATGTCCTAAGAAAAGGATGTCTCAGGTTAACAGCAGCCCTGAAAAGCTTTGAGTAGCCACTCTGCGAATCTTGCTTCTGGGAGCCCATATGGGTTTGGTTCAGCAGGCTGTGATTTGAAAATAGACCCCTTAAGCTATCTATCTTCCCAAAAGAAGCGGATGTGGGAGTTTAACAGTCACACATAGCGTGTGCTGGCTGTCATTTCTAGGCTTTCTGGCTTTTCAGTTTTTAAAGAAATATAACTCCTCCCTTTCTGTTTTCTTGTTTGCATTCAGGTGATTGACATCTCAATGATCCTGGCCGAGGCCATCCGGAGAACCCACAATGGGGAATCCGTGTCTTACCTGTTCAGCCATGTCCCACTGTAAACGCGAATGGGAAGTGACAAGTGATGTCCCACTTGTTTGAATCTCTGCTTTTTTAGTGGTAGGACTCAGCAATGATAAGATAATCGCTGGCAAAAGCATCAGATATTTGTTCACTCTGAGATTCAGTGTTTCCCCTTCTGAACCTCAAGCATGTAAGGGGCCGGGGATTTAGCTCAGTGGTTCTGGTGCCTGCCTCACAAGCACAAGGACCCGAGTTCAATCCCTGGCACCAAAAAAAAAAAAAAAAAAGAATGTTTCCAGCTTATTGGGGGATGGTGGTGGTTATTTGGTTTTTAGTGGACTGTCTTAAATGAGAAATGTTTTTATTGTCTTGACTTTTTTTGATTGGTGATCTTGCCTTTGTTCTTTTAGTACATCTCTGAGGCAACAGCACTCTAATATAAAATTCCATTCTGGAAACTCATATTTTGTATATTTTGAGGTTGCCAAAGGTAACTTCAGATTAAGCCTTCTGTGTAAATATATAACCATAATGCCTATGGATATTTGGGTAAAAACCCCATATAACCCTTTACTTTGGAGTGAATCTTAGAAAAATTATGACACGATGAATTTTGAATTTTTCTTTTTTCTTCTTTTACTTAATGCTAACTGGGTTTCAGTTAAACTAATGTAGTTATTGTGCTTCATCTGAACCAAATTTCACTTAGCTTAAAATGGCCATTGACATGTTCATTTTGGGGAAAACATAACTATCGCTTACTTGAAGCGCCATTTTCCAAAACTCCAAAATTATGTTCAGCAATTCTCTGACTTAGAAACCACATTGAGATGTAGTCTCTAAACTCAGTGTCATGTTGGTGCTTTCCTCTGGCCATCCCAGAAACACCTCAGGCCCTGCCACCTTGTTCTTTCCATCATATTTTTAGCTAAAGCTTTTACTTGCGATTGTTTCCAATGACTTCACCTTGTGGACTTCCAACAAAATAAGGACTCCTCCAAATCCCCTCAAATTTACTAGCTAATCATTATTTTGCTTTTGATAGAAAAGGTGAATTTTTATGAGTGCCACCAAATACATATTTAAGCATTATTTCATGAACTTTGATTCAGTGTTCTTTTAGTTTTCATAATGGAAAGCTGTAGGTTTCTAGCAACTGTTTATCTTAACTAAAGCTATTACAAACAAAATGTGAGTAGGAGAGTCCTATGAAAAAGTAAACAAAAAGTTGATTCATTAATGGCTCAAAGTGATCCTGAAGGGGAAATTCACCTAGGATTGTATTCATCATAAGATGGCCTCTTAGAATTTGGTCCTCCTAAGTGAAGTGCCTCACTGCCTCTAGTAAACATGTAACAATTTTATTTCTCGGAATTTCTATGCTTGGATGAAATGAAGACATAGTTGTATTAGATGCATTATGACTAAAGCCAGTTAATTTAAAAGTAATCATTTTCTCAAGATACCTGATTTTTAAAAAAACTGCTTTACTGTTCTCTGAATTAACTGATGGTTTCTATTATTATTTAGCTCCACTTTTGTATTTTAAAGTATAGCTGAATACATTTATGAACTAATTACTGTCCTCAGCTTTACACAGTAGAAATGCAGACTATAACTGCCTTGATTCTTTCAATTCAACAAAGATGATGAAGACTGCCAAGCAAATCTTAAGCTTTCTTGTTCCTTGCTGTTCATGGTGTGGAAACTTAAGTGAGACCACCAGAGAGTCCTGTCCAGCTACACTGAATGGGGTGTATACTTGGTATATATCTAGTGGAAGGGGGGAGCCGGAGAAACACAAATATACCAGAGTTGCTTAGCCTCCAACTTAAATTATATTAGTCAACCTGTAGATGTTTCTATGATGATAACTTTCCTTTGTTAGATATGATGCCAACTAGATTCAACAATACTGTTTATCATTTGCAATGCTTGTATTGGTTTAGAATATAGGATTTTAAGATCCTCCGATGCTGTACTAAAACATCTCAATTAAACCGTACAAACTACTTTCTTTTATAGTTTGCATTATCATTTTGGAGTAATGTATTTTGATGGAGTCATGTGTTGCAGTACCTGAATATGTGTTCTACTTTACGATTATAGCCCAATTTATAACATTAAAGAAAAGCTAGTTCATTGAACTCAGCTTGTCTCCATTTTGAAGGTTTTCCTTCATGAAGGACTTCTAGCAATCTTCCTTCCCCAAGGCACAACAGCTATACCACATAAGGCAACCAGGGTGATAATTCTAGGTGTTTCCTTTAAAATTAAAAGATTACATGTTGAAGGAGTAATGTTCAGTATCCTTTTACTTAAGTGTAGACCAGAAGGTTGTTCACGTGGTTCCATTTCAGAAGCACAGAGAAGGATTCCTGACCCCACAGAAGATTTACCCGTTCAGAGATGCTTTTAATTACTCTAGTGGGGACCAAATGTTCTCCCTGTGACACTAAGTTTTAAAGTACGGATAATGCCAAGAGTGGCAATATAATGTCCTAAAGTCACTATGAAGTAAAAAGAATGACAGCCAGGCCTGTCTGAGGAAAAAAGAAAATATCATATAATGCACTAGAAAGGAAGAGGAAGGTGAAGGAGAGGTGGAAGCCAGTCTCATCTCGGAGGTGTTTCACTTCCTGTGGCATCCACTGACCCTCAAGGATAAGGCCAAGTAGAAAAGAGAAAGATGAAGTAATGAGTGTTTCAGATCATTCAGTCACACTGGGAAGATCAGAAAGGACTTCGAGAAAGCACCACTGTTCCAGATGTAGAATTTTCTAGAACCTGATGGCAGTGTTCCAGCATGGACCAAAGTAGAGCAACACAGGGTGTTTGGTACATGCTGTGTTTGAGAAAGAATAGAACAATTCAGATGGGAAGTGGGGCTGACACGTGCTGCCAGGCTCTTCCTCAGAACTGCACACAGAAAGAAGTCAACGGAATCTGTCCGCTTCACTACCCACTACTGATGCATGTCCCTGTACCCCAGAAACACATTCCTCCACCCTTCTGCTGCCCTTGCTTTCCAACCCTTGCTTCAGGATGATTTGCCTCGTGTAGTGTTGAGCTCTACTTTCTCTTCTGAAAAAACAGAAAGGTCATGAACACAGATGCCACTGTCACAGGACACCTAGGTTCAGCCACTCAGGTTCCTTTGCTTGCTGCTGGTCATATCAAAGGAGGCCACTTACTTTGGGAAAAAACAAAAAAAGATTTAGTCAAAGCTTATTCCAGGGAGACAGAGGGGCTCATTTGCCTTAAATCACCACCTCACCATGGACAAAGCTATTACATAATATGGTAGGGTCTTTTATAGCAAGGAACAGTAGTAGTTGAGAATACAGTGAGACAATACATATGTTCAGACTTGTTTCGTCCCCTCCTGGACCCAAAACCCTCCCTCCCTTGCCTAAGGAAATAAAATTGGACTAGACCTTCTGGTACCAGCATCTGCATATTCTGTCCTTTCCTCTGGTCTCTGGAGGGGTGGAGGGGGGCTTATGCCCTGGGCCTGAGGAAGTTTGGAGAATCTACTTGTCTCTAAAGAGGAAAAATCTAACTTTTAAAATTCTATTTCATTGGGCCGGGGATTTAGCTCAGTGGTTCTGGAGCCTGCCTCGCAAGCGCAAGGTCCCAAGTTCGATTCCCGGTACCAAAAAAAAAAAATTCTATTTCGTGCAGTGCAGGTTACAACTCCCCCCTGAGGTAACACATCATCTGGCTGTCTGTCTTGAATTAGCTAGAGCACAAGCAAAGGGATGCTGAATGCTTGAGGCTAAAAAGGTATCACTAAAAATTGTAAGGTCAAATACAAAAGAAAGCCAGTCAGGAGACACCTAATAGTTACACCTGCTGTAAGGGCTTTTTGCTTTAGTCAATCAGTCCATGTCATCAAACACTTCTTGCCAAATTTGAGCAATATCAGAAAACTGGCTCTGGCTCTTCAGCTCGGTTTATTTAAAGTCCATTGTCAAGTCTAATCTCATTTTGTAGTCAGTATCCTAAAATATTATGACTTTGACAAATACTAGTCACAAAACTCATAAGCAAATGGAAAACAAGCTAGTAAGAGCAAAGAGAATCCAGTCTGTACAGTAGACTTGAACTAAGAAATGTAATGACCAAGTTAAAACCAGTACAGTATTTCTGTGAGACAAGGTTAGTTTTGTCAGAAAGTATATCAAGCAAATACTTAAAGTCTCTTTTTCTTGTAAACCAATGTGAATTACCAATTGGAAGAAAACACATAAGTTATTAATGTCAAGACCAAGAATTACAGCTTGGTAACACCTTTAAGATTTCTTAGGTATGCACATACAGAACTGCAAAAACTTTGAATACAATGTGCAAGAGCTAATGTCTATTTAACCAACTAACACTGTCAGACCCCTGCCCAGGCAGGAGAGAAAAAACTTCCCAGGCAATGCAGTTACACATCCTGCAGGGTGCAAAAGATCACAGGAACCCAAGGCCAGGGTTCCAGATAAACAGCCCTCCCCATGAAGCAACACCTGTGGGTCCAGACACCCCTGGAGACCACCAGACTTCCTCCGCCCCAGAACAAAAGACTTTCTCCACTCCAGGGCAAAAACTTCCACTCCTCCTGGCACTACCCCTCCCCTACCCAAACTCCCCTATAAAGTTTCCCCTCGCCCAAACCCGCAGGGTCAACAGCTTTGTCACCCTTGACTAGCCTGCACCCAGGCTGGAAATAATACCTTGCTTGTTGCTTCATTTTTGTCTGGTCTTGTCTTGGTCGTGCTTCGGTTTACCCTAACACATTTTCCAGTAAGACTGTCTCTTATCAAATAATAGGAATGTGGCTTTTGTCAGTGATATGACTATAAGCAATACATGTATGTTAACAGTTCTGAAGACAATCTTATTTTATTTTTTGAATATTTGTTTCACTCGTGTAGACTAAAATGCATTTTGATTTCTGCTTTCCTGATTACCGGGTGCTCTCATTTTTAAATTAATCTGGTACCATCTCAATGATATAGAAACATAAGCACACAGATAAACAAATAATACACACATGGATGCCAACACACACAAAGCAAAGACATAGCTTTATCATTTACCAGCTTTTGACAAGCTTACACTTTAGGCACCATTCTCCTTTTTATAGTCCTAAGCAACACTTGATCCTAAATTTGCAAGTCTGAAGGCAGGAATCCTGGTTGTAGCAAGATGAAAAATATAAACCTCATAGGAGATCACTTGGTTGATTAATCTGAGTTTGAATTTCTTGGAGCTTTTTTTCTCCTCCTGCCTTTTGGCATTAGTTCATTTTAAAAGCTTTTGCCCCAGGTTTTAAGACATTTCCCATTGGACTAAAATTTAGATATAGCTGGTCAGAGGTTTACACATCTGATCCTGGCTCTCTGCTCTGGGCCTTTAGTATAGAAAAAAGAAACCAGTTTAGGAAGACTACTACCCACTGAGAAAAACACAAAAGCAAGTCATCTTTAGTCAAATTTATTCATCTTACTAGTTGGGTAGGTAAAATGACAGTGTTAGCAGGGTACTGGGATACTATTCTCTTCCCAGAGGTCCCTTCTAGACTCTTATTGTCCTGAACAAGGAATTGGACAGGAAATAAAGTATTGAAATTTTACATTTATTAAAGGTATCAATGGTAAGAAAAGAAGAGAGAACTTCTTTGAAAAGAAGTACTATGTAGAGTATGGGCAATTAAAGTAGGAAAGGAAATACACTCTGTGTGCAGAGAAGGACACTGAGAAAGAGAAAAAGAAGGTAGTGACCATAAGGCCACTGGTCATTGTCATTTGTTCCCCCATTCTGACATGAGATCCAGGCCATCCTATCAAAAATCTGCTTGATCTTGTGCCAGAACAACTGAAGATAGCATTCTCTCTCTGATTGGTACCAGATGCAGGGCTCAGAAGCTGTTCTGCACAGGTTCTGAACAGGTTACACCCACTTGTCCAGCCACTTTGCCATGCCCTAATCTTCTGCCTCAGCAGGAGACAAAAAATTGCCAACAAACAGAACTTTTGACAAATATTTTGAAACACAACCAGTTTACAATGAATCAAGGACTATTAGCCAAAAGGAGAGGAACCACAGTAAGAAACTCAACATTAGACAAGTAGCTGCATGGTCAGTGGCACAGAAGGCTCTTGCATGTACTTGTCACTAACCCAAAAAAGGGCACAGAAAGCAGCTGTGGATGTTATTCTGGCCAAAGTTAATCCAAAAAAATTTCTTAAGGGCATTTACATGAAATCAGAATGCATCTTCATTTATATAGTTTATGTTGTAATACAATAAATCACCTTTTTTAAAGTCACGGGTGACTATAACTTCTGTAGGGAGCTATAAAGTAGCACAAACACTTTTATTCCTGAGCAAATCACAGCAGATCTCGAAACACACACCAGTGTCTGTAGCCACTTAAAGTCTCTTAATCCAAACTTTCCTGTCAAACAAACAATTCAAGAACCTTGAACTCTAGATTGTCTCCCAAGCCTCAGTATGCCTTAATGCTCCAAGTGGCTTACATAAAGGAAAGACAAGGCATAGTGTCTCTGTAAGATGGAATTAAACCTCTAAACTGAATACTGCCTTAGACAGTATTGGCCTGTCTCACAATGGGAAGCTCCCTGGCCAAACTGAATACTCCATCAAGTCTTAGAAGGGGGAATCTTTCCTGTCTTACATTCATAGTGGAAAAGACATAGCTGGGGGCAGTCCTCTGATTATAGAATACTGGATGCAAACTGTACTGTTAGTATGTAGCTCCTAGATGGTACTGAAATACTGTTGCCCATCCTAGAATAAAGGTCTTTATAAGAACAGAAAGATAATCCAAAGCAAACCAAAACACATGAGTACTCTAAACCAACCAAACAAATCCCTGGAAATTTTTTCTACCTCTGATCTCTTCTCATACCAGTTAGAGCCCCAAAATGATCAGCAGTAGGTCCAAATGGCCACAAACAATTAAGGCACTTACCTCACCCAAATGGTACTGCCAAACAAC